CCCCCCGGCCTGCGTAGGCGGGCGGGCCCGGGGCGGCAGCGACTCCACACAGCCGTGGGGACACGGCCAGAAGCACAGAACAAACCACGCGCCCGCTGCCGCCTCACCCTGAGAACAGCAGCAAGGTCGTGGCCGCCTCTCCGCCTTTTGCCACGAGGAGCCCTGAGTCCCCGCCTGGCTGTGAGGGAGGCCCAGACGCCAGTGGCCTTGAGCGGGTGCTTGGCCGTCCTTTCCTGCTGCCCCACTTCGCTCCCGCCCGAGCAGCCCACGGTCCCCCGGCGGCCCCTGCACAGCATCGTGTGCCCTGCCAGCTGGAGAGATGGGGCTCAAATGCCCACCGGCCGCTGTGTGAGGAGCCTCCTGCGTCTCTGACACGTCACGTGGCTGCAGTGTGGGCTCTAACTGGCGATGAGTGCACGGGCCAGCGTGCATGGCTCCCGCCCTGCTCCTCCCGCCGCGCCAGCTCGCAGCCAGATGTCTCTGCGGCACGCGCCCTCCCTCTGTCAACAGCACAGCGCGGCGCCCGTGGGCACCCCTTCTGACCATGCAGCTCCCTAACCGCAGGGCTGGACGCCGGAGGCCAGTGTGGGTGCACTGCGGACTCAGCCCCTGCAGCCTGGGCCGGCCAGCGAGATCACAGCACGGACAGGGACCACACCAACTGCCACTGCAGGGCCTGGCCAGCCTGGCAGGGACCTCGCTCGGTGGCCTCTGAGCTTGGAGACGAAGGGTGAGGCGCTCGGAATCTCCAGATCAAAGCTGGCACTGCACATGAGGTCTGCTTTGGGGACATCTTAGAAACAGTTCCCAGTGGCCCCCGCGGGCTGGGGAGCCACCATGGGGCAGTCCTGTCCAGGGCACGCGGGGCAAGAAGTGTGCACTGCCATGTTCCGAGCCTCATGGCCAGGGCGCAGGCGACAGTCTGAGCCAAGGAAGGACGCGCGGTCCCTGAGGGAGGGGACGAGCTCTGACTGGAGCAAGAGAGCCCGGCAGCCCTACCTGCACGACGGGGTGTCCTCCAGCCGACGCCTTCACGGCCCCCCGGCTGCCCTCGGTCTCGTAGTGCGCTCGGTGGTGGGGCTTGGGCTGCACCGCGATGCAGAGCTCGTAGGGGCCCGAGTGGGAGGGCAGCTGCCAGTCCAGGGCAGGGAGAGACGGGCTGAAACGCAAGACAGAAAGCGTTAAACCCTCACTGCACGGCTCCCCGGCCCCCTGCCCTGGCTTGACCCCGCCGTCTTGGGACCGGAGCTCCCGTCATCGGCCAGCTGTTGAGGGGGCTGGACCCCATGTGGCTGACAGTGTGGGTCCAGTCCTGGGCCCAGTGGCCGGGAAGTCTGGCAGGCGGTGTGCACGTGTGGCCAGAACTCCAAGAGGAGGCGGCCGTGGGGCAGGGCACAGGGCGAGGCCATCCCTCGTGCCTCGCCTTCCCTGTCTCTCTGTCTGTCCCTCTATGGTGAGAGTGACTGCCCCACCCGCCCTGACCTTTATGAAAGATTAAAGAGAGGAAGGAGAGGGAGGAAACGAGCTGGCTGGTGTGCGTGCCTGAGCGCTCAACACCCCGAAAGGAGAGTGGCGTGGAGGGGAGGGGCTGTGGCGTGGCCGGGGCGGGGGTGTCTCTCCAGCGAGCGCACGTGCCCTCTGCAAACTGAAAGTGAAAGCAGGGACCAGCAGTTAGTGTAATGGCTATGTCGCTGGACTCCCATGTAGTCGACCGCGGTTCGAGTCCTGGACCCGGTGGCTTAAAACTCACACTGGGTGCGTGTGCGTGTGTGCCCAAGATCCCGAGAGGAGAATGGAGGAGAAGGGACTGCGGCATGGCCATCCCCCCGGGAGTGATTTCTCGCTTTCTGTCTCTGTCTGTCTGGCGAGTGCACGCGCCCTATGGCAAACATCTCTCCAAAAAAAAAAAAGAAAGTGAAAGCAGCTCCTGCCAGCGAGGCTGGCATCTGGCACAGGGGCTCCATGTCCCCTGCAGCTGGGGACGGGGTGAGGCCTCAGCCCGCTGGTCTCCAGGACGCAGACCTCACGTCCCAACACGGCCCTCACACAGTTGCTCTCCTTCACAGGGGCAGCTGCAGGTGCTCAGCCCCCAGACTCCTGCAGACAAGGTGTCTCCCTCGGGCAATGAGAATCAAGTGACCCCAGCCCATGGGGCGCTGTGAGCTGGGCGAGGGGTGGAGGCGCCCTTGCACCCAGGCAGTGTGGTTCTGCATCCTTCAGAAAGGTAAGTTTCAGGGGACAGATACGGGCAGGCCCGCCCAGGTCCTGGAGGGTGAGACATCTCTTCACTGGGTCAGCTGGAGTCTGGGACTGCCCCCTTGGAGGGGCGCGGAAGGCTCAGTGCAGCCTCTCCAGTCCCCAGGGGACCCTTCCTGTCTGTGTCCCGTGGCATGAACACGTGTGCCCGCATGGCAGTCCCTGCTGTCCACACAGCCCAGGCAGCCTCACCGGCCATGCGGGCAGGCGCAAACCCCCTCACTAAACACACGCACCATCCAGGCTGATTCTGCCATGCCCAGAGACCTAGCAGCCCGGCCCTCACCCCAGCAGGCAGAGACCAGACGCTGGGGCTGGGACAGAGCCTCCGGGTGACACTCAGTGTCCTCGTGGCCCGTCCCAGCAGCCACCCTCCGAGCTGGGTAGTGAGGCCCATGAGGGCGCCCAGGCCCCGCCAGCAGCCCACACAGGGAGCAGCGAGACCGTGCAGTCCGCCTCTGCCCACACCCAGGCTCGAGTTCCCCAACTCGACCGAACCGGCCCTGTGCGGCGCTGCGCAGCCAGACCTGCGACCAGTGTGCACGCGAACACGGGACATGCTTGCCCTGTCCCCACACGAGCCTCTAACTGGCTCAGTGGCATCAGACATTCGGTGTTACAAACAGTCCAGACGTGATTTCGGCACATGGGACCTACGCTCGGGTTCGGCACACACACGTCTCCATTTTGCATGAGAGTTGGGGCATGGAGCATTCAGGCGTCCTTGGGACCCACAGACACCGAGGGCACCTGACTGGAGCTGGAACGGACAACCTCGGACACGTCCTCCCAAAGGCGACGGCTGCACCGGGAGCCGCGTCCAGTGCCCACCTGCCCTGGGCTGTGACAGCCCGCCTGGCAAGGGCCCACACCTCGGGAACATGCCATGGTCCGCTCTAGAGGCCGCTGACCCCGAGCATGCACTGGGCGGCTTCAGGCAGGTGGCTTGTTCTCCAGAAACCCCAAAAAGTCCTGCCCCTCGTGGCACAGATGGCGATGCACGGAGGCTGAGCAAGGGCCGGGGGAGGGCCGCTGCACTCCCCGTGACCCACGGCGTACCCTGCACACACGGGAGATGTCTACAGGCCCGTGGTGTGGTCAGGACTGCATCACCACCGGCGTGGTGCAGGGAGCCGGGAGGCCTCGTGCAACCTTCTGAGCCTCTGTAATCACTGCACCAACGCAGGCACCCAACCAGCCGCCCTCACTGCCGCGCCGGGAGAGCCCGCAGGCCCCTTCCCCGGTAGGCCTGCTCCCTCCCGCGTGGGCACGCTGGACCTGCACGACGGCTGCCCACCTGCGAGTGTGGGAAACCAGGGCTGCTTCGGTGGGCCAGGATGGCCGTGGGGTGGTCTGGGCCAGGCCCAGCACACGAGGCTCTGGTCTGGAGCGTCCTGACATGCGAGGCTGTGTAGTGCAGGACACCGGTGTGAGTGCCAGGGGCCTCCCTGAGCGTGGGCGCCAGCTCTGCCAGGCCTCCTGCATCTCGAGCCACACTGTTGTGGCAGTGGGGATCCTTGCTTCCTGGGAAAGCTGTACTAGACTTGCCACACAGGTTCGCATGGGGACTGCCCGCTCTCCGCCCATCTGCTCCCCGGGTCAGCCCCGCAGCGAGCCCAGGAGCACACACTGCCACCTGGCCATGCCACCTGCTGCCCGCTCCCCAGGCCAGTCATCAACAGGCACACGTCTTAGACAGGCTCAGCCTCCGTCACCCTTGCTTCCTGGGAAAGCTGTACTAGACTTGCCACACAGGTTCGCATGGGGACTGCCCGCTCTCCGCCCATCTGCTCCCCGGGTCAGCCACGCAGCGAGCCCAGGAGCACACACTGCCACCTGGCCATGCCACCTGCTGCCCGCTCCCCAGGCCAGTCATCAACAGGCACACGTCTTAGACAGGCTCAGCCTCCGTGCCACGGCTGGCCGCAGCAGAAGCTGCCAGCGCACAGCCACCAGGACGAGCGTCACGGCCACCAGCCGCCCCAAGATGGGGAGCTCCTCCCACGTGGCCCTCACAGCAAGGACCGAGGCAGCGGGGGGGTGCTCAAGTGGCCAGCCTGCGGGACCTGTCACCGCTTGGTGACCTCCAGTACTCCCGGGACATCTGTCCAGGCCATGGCCAGGCTGGGCAGAAGCTGCCAGCGCACAGCCACCAGGACGAGCGTCACGGCCACCAGCCGCCCCAAGATGGGGAGCTCCTCCCACGTGGCCCTCACAGCAAGGACCGAGGCAGCGGGGGGGTGCTCAAGTGGCCAGCCTGCGGGACCTGTCACCGCTTGGTGACCTCCAGTACTCCCGGGACATCTGTCCAGGCCATGGCCAGGCTGGGGACCAGAGCTGGGAGGTCCCTCATAGCCAGCCACAGGGGAGCTGTGTCAGTCCGGTGGCCAGAACTGCGTGTGGCGAGCTCGCCCACTGGCTGAGGCTGGAGCCCGGGTGGTTTCAGTGACTGACCACAGCCACGCCGCACCAGGCTCCAGGAGGGAGCACCGCGTCCTGGAAACACCGATGTCAGGTACGGGCAGGTGTGTGCGGCGTGCTCCAATGTAACGGTGCGGGTGGGCCGTGGGCGAGACGGGCCGCCTGGTTCTACTGAGGGGGTGGTGCGGGCTCAGGTATGGGTGCCCCAAGGCTGTGTGTGCTCTGTTTCCTTTGATAACAGTTCGCTTACGCCCCGGGGGAGAGGGTCACACACGGTCCCAGCCCTTATAGGCAAACACGTGCACACCACGGTGCACCGGCCAGGGAACCAACCAGATCCTCCACGTGGCTGCGGTGTGGCAGTGCTTTGCCACTGCGCTGGGCCTGCTCGGAGCAGATTGGTGAGGTGAGGGGCCAGGGAGGCCCTCCAGAGAGCAGGGGGACCACCGCCTGTGGTCAGGGAGTTGGCTGCACACAGCCAGCCACGGTTCAAACTCTGGCCCTGGTGACTTAAAACACAGGTGTGTGCGTGTGCATGCTGCAAAGCCCCGGGGTGGAGAGGAGAAGGGGTCACGGCATGACTGCCACTGGGAGCATGGTTTCTGCCTCGTCCCTCTGCCTCTGTGCTGAGTGCACACACCCTACGGCAAGAAGCAAAACAGAAGAGTCAGCTTAGAAGATAACCGATAGTGGGCTGGGAAGCGGCGTGCTCATTTGGGCACTGACCCCACATGACCAACAGCATGGTTAGAGTCCCGGACCCGGCAGCTTGAAAAACACACCGGTCACATGTGCGTATGGGCCCAAAAATCCTGAGAGGAGAGCGGAGAAGGGCCTGAGGCCTGGCCGCCTCCCAGGAGTGCTGTCTCACGGTCCCCTCTTGTGCCTCTCCCAGGCGAGCATGTGTGCTCCAGCAGATAAACAAGACACCTTGTGGCCCCCTTGTAAGTTGGAAGCATCGGGGCCTCGCTGGCTTGCTGTGTCTGCTCCAGCCCTCAGCACCCCACCCACACCCGCCCCAGGGCCTGGCGGCCACTTTGGTAAACAGGTTTGGACGGACCTGTCCTGTTCTCGGAATCCCCCTCTCTGAAGTTCCACTGTGCAGACACGGTGCATGATCACTCTGAGTGGCCACTGCCCCCAGACACACTCCTGTGGGGCCACGGCAGGGGTCCTTGGCACCTGGGTTGTGGACAACCCTCCAGTTTGGGGTCGTCCCTGGTGAAGGCTCAGTGCTCATCCCTGACCCCAGGAGTCGTCACATGGTCACTTTTAAAAGCCAGCACCCGTGGGGGTGCAGGGCCTCCATCCCCAAGGGACTGCGGAGCGGGCCGGGCAGGGCCAGGGCGTGAGATTTAAGCCACCGAACCGCGGTCGACTACGTGGGAGTCCAGCGACATAGCCATTACGCTAACTGCTGGTTCCCACATGGTCACTTTTAAAAGCCGGCACCCGTGGGGGTGCAGGGCCTCCATCCCCAAG